AAATTAGTTGGAGGCATGTGAAAAGGAGTTTGTTTTTCAAAACTTAAAAATTGCTTTACATCTGCAGTGATTACAAGAATTTTCAGTTCATGTTATGAGATTATTTAACATTATATTACGCAGTGGACACTTTATTAGGTACACATTGGTGGTAACAATAAGCTGGATTCCTCAGAGATTTTGTTCCATATTGACATGACAGCATTATACACTGACCCGGTACCACCCTAAGGAAAACACCCGTGGCAGTCAATTTATCTTACGCATTTCATAAGTTCACCTTCCTTGCAATAACCTGGAACCCGAATAAACCATGAGTTGGGTTGGAGATTTGAGCAGTAGTAGTAATGGCTAATGAGCAGAAATAAGAAAAAGCCCGGTTTGCTTTCCTTTCTCTAAGCTCAGTTCTTTCTGTTACAGTCAGCTACATCCGTCAAGTCACCAATCTTTCAAAAATATGTCACCATTTTCTAACCCTCAAGTAGACAAATCTAAAAAAACAAAAGCCACACTGTCTGCGATCATGTCATCTCAGCGTTGTAATTACCAGTTTCTAAATTGTCCAACTTATAATAAGTGTTCCCGTCAATATCCAAGTCATAATTACCACTATAAGTAGTTTTCCAAGAAGAGCCCAAAGAACAGACTCACATGCATGTTAGGTTAATTGGTGATTCTAAACTGGACATATAGGTGTGGATGTGAGTGTGACCAGTTTCTTTCTTGGCCATGTGCTGGACTAGTGACCATTCCAGAGTAATGAAAAATAGTCTCACAAGCATAGATGCACTGAAATATAAAAGATATGGTGTCAATTTGTGACCGGATAGTATGAAAATAAAGGATCATAAAATATACATATTTACTATATTATATTATTATTATTATTATTATCATATTATACAAATACACCTTTGTGTAGATTACAAAGGATTCATGTTGGCTTCATTTCTTTAAAGGTTTGCAAGCCTTTAACATCCTCTAACCAACACTGTCTGATCCTTTAATCCTGCAATGCTTTAAACAATCATAACTTTTAACTGGACACACTGACATGTCAGTTTGCCGTGTCAGTGTGCGCAGCCTACATGTCCTAAAATCTCTTCACGATTGTACCTCGGCGGCCTCTCATCTCCCTTGCAATTAGCTTTGTGGCCGCTGCATGTGTACACCAAAAAAAAGTGAAAATTCCCGTGAAAGCATGCAGTTCAGAAGACGTGGTCTAAGACAACAAACTCCGGAAGCCACTGATTGACAGATCTGTCTGCCCACTCTGATCCCCTGGCTAAAGCTGTGGCTGCTGTGGCAGTGCTGTGGTCGCCGCCGCTCCACGTCTGAAGATGCAAGGCCATTTCTAGGTTACAATAACAAACAGCACTCTGACACAACTGCAACGCCGGATATCCGAAACACTAAGAGCCCATCAAGACAAATTTAGTTTGAGGCTTGTAAATAATTGGTGCCCCCGACCTATGAATGTTCTCTCAGGCAGAGCATTTTGTCCCCACGAGTAGCTAAAAATATGCCTGGCTTGCAGCATAATAACACAGCTTGGAGGGACAAATAACCTCTTATGGAGTACTTCTGTTACATTAACAGCAGTACTCATTCATATTCATGCACAACACTATATTTTTTCAACGTTTTTAAAATATCTTAATAGTGCAGAAGCAGTCTAGTTTCTCGTTGCCCTGTGAGGAATGTAAATAACAACACTGCAGTCTCCGCCTGCGGAACAACCATACAGGGGCATGTGTGCAGGGCTCAGAGAGCCCCACACAAACTACCACTCTGAGATGCTATAGAGCGCATAATGATGGCATTCACATCAGTGGTTGAGGGGGGCGGGGAAACTGCCTCCTGACCACTTCCAACAAACAAGCTGAAATTAAGACCACTGATGACCTCACGGATGCCAACTAGGCTAGTAAACCCAACTGGATGCCTTGGCCCAAAATAGCCTAGTAATGCTGCCTAGTGTTGCCAGAGAAAGAAAAAAAAACAGTCTTTATGAATTTTTAAATATGTTACATAATCCACAAATTAAATCTAACAAGGATTAATTTGCATAAGTAAATTAGAGAAACAGTTACCCCAAATTTCCCTTGTCCCTCTGGACCTTGTTACTCATGTCTTTCATGCATAGAGCCAACTGCTGTAAAATAGTTACTCAGTTTGGGCTTTGTTACAGGGTTTGTTATGAACTAGAGCGACTATAACTGCAGTCTAAAATGCAAAATAATTATCTTTATGTTTTACATTTTTGACATTTTAACCTTGAGATGAATTCACAGACTGTTCACCACTAAAACATGCACAAATGTGCAGTATTACCTTTTTTAAAGACAAATTATCATCACATAGCTTAACAATATAAACCCATATAACTGCCACTAAACTCACTAACAGGATATTTCTACTTTTACTTTAGTTTATGTAACAGTCTTTCCCTCTTTAGCGGTCATGTGACTTTGTTTGGGAACATATAGTATTTAGACGTGGTAATTTTAACTGTAGCAGCATATATTCTAAACATTTCCTGCAGTTATAAACGGATGTATACGTGTAGAAGTGCCAGAGAAACGTGACTGTCGTTTCAGGATTAACTTCGGCATTTTAAGAGAATGCAGGGGTGTGCTCAACCTGTCATTAGTAGCACCGGAATAAATACAATATAAGCATGTATATATGTGTGAATGGAAGCGTTATGTTGTGACCGCAGTGTTTGCATGACTGGATCTGATATTTTAGTCGTGGCTGTAGGCAGTGCTGGAGGAGTTTAGGAATGCGTGACCACAGGGCCTTTTGGCCCCGTGGATGCATGTTCTCCTCCCTTGTCTGGGTCCAAAGGAGTGGACCATCACATCCCTGGTTGTTCCTCAAGGTCCACTGTGTGATAAACCGCAGCCGACAGCCACCCACTCACAAACTAGAAAATGACAACCCTCGGGACAGCTGCCCTTCTCTTGAATGTGCAGTAAAAATGGAGGGATTTTACTTTCATTGCACTTTAGAGGGAGCCGTGATTGCTTCCGCCCTGAGTGTGGGCGACTGAGTGGCTGAGGACATGTCAGGTTCATGTCAATCAGCCAGTCAAAGTCTGTACCTCTGTGAACCAAGACCAGAAGGCATTATGCTGCCATCTGCTGGTAACTTGTCTGACACGACTGATACTGTCACTGCCTGCAAATAAAGAAGCAGAAATGACTCCTCAAAGTTAACTTTTATACAAGATGATGGCTAAGATGCAATCCAGAAACCACAAGTTCCCAGAGAGATGTATTTAATCTGAAATATATTTAGTACAGATGACAGTTTAAAAACACTTTTTTAGACCATTTTAAAGATATTAGTCACATATATTTTTAAGTAAGTGATGTTTATTTCTTCATTCTAGTCCCCCACATACACCTACATCTGCACTTGTGCAAACTTAGGAGCGCTATATAAATGCAATCCATTAGTATTAACTGCAATCTTTGATTAGTTCTCGCATATCGAATTTTGCCTTTTTCTTTTAAACCAGGTATTATTTCTGACACAATCCCCAAAGGATTTGTGTCTCCTCCTGCAATCTTTCACTTGTCAGGCAAATATGTAAACAACTACATAATAGAACCACAACTGCAGTCTCTGAGTTTCTTTCTATTAATCATTCCTAAAGACATAACTAGATTCCTTATTTACCCTGTGTAGAAAGTAATTTGTTAAATTACTTACTCGCTGTAGTTTGAGTTACTCCCCAGTATCAGCTGTTATTTACATGCAAGAGCAAAGATCCACCTTGTAAAAAGAAGGAAATACAAAAAATCCTTCTTTTATCATTTAAGAATTATGACAAACAGCAGACATGATTCATTTAACTGTAGACAAACTGGTTGCATTTCAACCTGTATCTGAAAGTCTCGTACTTGCAAAACAAGAAAAAAATCCAGCAAAGATGAGATACGCATCTGGCCCCTCATTTGATCCACCTACTGTTCACCGAAGCCTCATCAGAAATGGTCTCAGTGGAAGGGCAGCTGTATAAGGCTATTTCAAGGAAATGAAAGATGGAGAAAAGGCTGAGGTATGCCAAATTACAAATAAACTGCACTAAAAATCAGTGACAACAGGCCTGATTGAGTGATGAATGCAAATGTAAAATTTTTGTCTCAAATTTTTGGAACTGTTGTCAAGAGGTTAAGACTGAGGTTCAACAGTGAGTCTACATCCATCTGTAAAACGTAGTGGAGGCTGTAATGGTTTAGGGCTGCATTTCAACCTGTTGGGGATCTTGTCAAAATTGATGGACTTATAATTGCAGAAAAATACTGTCAGATTTTGCAATATCATCTGGAAAGCATCTGATTGGCAACAGCTTAATGTTTCAGTATGGCAATAATCCCAATATTACCTAGATAGAAAGGTCATGGATTCCCAGAGCCCGGGCTAAAACATTACTGAAACAGAGTGGGACCAACGAAAGATAGCCAACATCCAAAGAAGAGGTTTGAATGGCCTTCACAAAGCCTGGAGAACTATTCCCGGAGAATAAACAAGAAAGGTTGTCTAAGAGAGTTCAGGCTGTGTTGAATAAAGGTGCTCATACCAAATATTGACTTTCAAACTCTGTTTTTGCCTTATATACGGCATTTGCACGTGTGTTTGCACATGTTTTAATAAACTGCTGTATCTATTCACATTTTCATATCAAACTATAGAGAAAAATGAGGTGGCACAAGATTTTTGCACAGTACCAAGCCATTTATAAGCATTAGACGGGCGAACTTAGCAAAGCTGCGCCAAGCTATTTGAGTGAAGCAGATTCGACACCTTAAAAAAACGAGTTAAAAAGAAAAACAGAATATTATCTATTGCTTTCTGATTATTTCTGATTTTAAAGATTAAAACATGTTGCCACAAACTGACTCTTTTTCTGTATTCTTTTGTTTTGTTTAGAAATAAACGAATCTGCTTCCGGTTTCCGGTAGATTTGTAAACAACTGACGTCACTTCTGGTCCGTTCAGGCGGGCTGTTTGAGAGCTCGGGGGGACCGACGTACCTCACGTTAAGCTTGTGTAACTAAAGTTTTATAGTTTACGGATAGTCCAGTTTACGGATAGTTCACGAAAAGTGACACCTTAACTTTGTTATCGTGCGTGTGGCGATCGAAAGCCTTCACGCAGCTGGAGGGAGTAGTAGTGTTGATTAGCCGTGTCAATGCGGTTATTGTTAGCTGACTAAAAAGCAAGCTATGGACCGACCATCTAGGTAAGCTACTGCTTTTGTCGATGCCTGGTAAACTAGATCTGGTGAGGCTAAAAACTGTTTGTTTGTTTGTTTGTTTTTATTGTTGACACACAGGAAGACAAAGACTGTGAATTACTGTGAGACCAAGGACTTCGATGATGGTGAGTTAAATTGAAAATCTGTTATCCTGGCCCATTTGATCCACAGTGTGATAAAGAAATAGCATAGCATATCATGTCATCATTTTATAATCTTACATAAAGTATTTACACAAGGACATGTAGGTTCGTTCAAAAAAGAAATTACATCGCTTTGAAATTAGTCTTTAATATCAAAATGTGTGCAATATACTAAAGATATGACTGCTATTCTATAGAAACAGAAAAATCGAGGCAGATTTACACAAGACAATTTAAAGTGCTTTACAGAGGATAGAAACAGAGAAACTGGATTAATATACAGTCATAAGAAAATGTGAGGGTAGACGAGTTTAAATACCTGGGGTCAGTTTTCTAAAGCAAAGAGAGGTGAAGAAGAGAGTGCAGGTAGGATGGAGTGGGTGGAGATGAGTGGCTGAAAGGCAGCAGCAAGAGTGAAAGGGAAGGTTTGCGAGATGCAAGTATGGTTTTGACAGGAGGTGGAGCTGATGATGCTCAGATTTTTGTTGGTGTTACAAGGATGGATACAATTAGAAATGAGTACATTGGAGGGACGGCTCAGGTTGAGGGGTATGGAGACAAGATTGAGATGGTTTAGAAATGTGAAGGGAGGGGGTGGGGGCCACAGAGACAATTCGTGGATGTAGTGAAGGCAGACATGCAAGAGGGTTGGTGTGACAGAGGAGGATGCTGGGAATAGTGTGAGATGGGGCAGATCTGCTGTGGAGACCCTTAAAGGGAGCGACTGAAAGTAGAACTGCATACAAATTTAGATAAATAAATTAAAACTTTATGCAAGTTCTAATGACTTGCTTTATGATATATATTAAATACTAAATGTGTGTGTGTGTGTGTAAAGGTAAGGAAGGAAGGAAAAATACACAAAGAGATGTATGTATGTTGTGGGCAACAGAGTGAAAAGGTGGTGGTCACCTTAAAGTCTTTAAATGTTATAATAACAGGTTGATTTTAAGTGTTCATAAAGAGGTTGTTCCACACGGAGAACCATAAAAACTTAAAGCTGCTGCACCCTGAATAGCAGCTATCTGTTAATAACCGTTTTTTTGGTTTTTTGAAAAGGTGAGACGTCCACACGCTGTGCCAGTGGGTGTATTGATAAGCACAGAAATATTAACATCTTTATGACAGATCTGTTGGACGTTTTACTGTGATCTTTACATTTTATTTACTGTACATTTTATAAACCATCAGAGCTATGCAGATGACACACAAATATATATCACAATGTCACCAGGAGACCAAGGCCCTGTACAGGCTCTTGGAAATGCATTGAGGAAATTAATGACTGGTTTTGCCACAATTTTCTCCAGCTAAACAAAAACAAAACTGAAGTAATAGTCTTTGGTGCCAAAGAAAAATGATTACAGGTCACCAGAGAACTTCAATCTATACACCTAAAAACCACCAACCAGCGAGAAATTTGGGTGTAGTGATGGATGCAGACTTAAACTTAGAAAAACACATTAAGACAATAACAAAATCAGCTTACTATCACCTCAAGAATATTTCAAGGATAAAAGATCTGATGTCTCAACAGGACCTGGAAAAACTAGTCCAT